TAAAAAGAAAACTTAACTGTAAAATAGCCTCAGGCAGATCCTTCAGGGGGTATTCCAGAAGAAGGCATTTTTATCACAGAAGATGACAACTCCATGTGTTACTGCCTCTGAAGACCTTCTAGTGGGACAAGATGTTGAGGTAGAAGACAGTGATATCGATAATCCTGAGCCTGGGTACGCCTAGGCTAAATGTGTGTGTTTGTGTCATTTTTATCAAAAAAGTTTAAAAAGTTAAAAGAAAAAAAATTAATTAGAAAACAGCTTATAAAAGGACATAAATATTTTGTACAGCTGTACATTATTTGTGTTCTATGCTAAGTGGTATTATAAAAGAACCAAAAACTTTCAAAAAGTTAAAGGTTATAAAAAGTTACAGTGAGCTAATGTTAATATATTATTGGAGAAAAAAAATTTTTAAATAAATTTAGCATCCCAAAATGTACAATGTTTATAAAGGGTACAGTAGTGTATTAGCCCATTTTCACACTGCTATAAAGAACTACCTGAGACTAGGTAATTTATAAAGAAAAGAGGTTTAATTGGCTCACAGTTCCGCATGACTTGGAAGCTCTCAGGAAACTTACAATCATGACAGAAGGCAAAGGGGAAGCAAGGCACGACTACCACAGCAAACACGAGAGAGAGCAAGAGAGAGAGAGAGCAAGCCACACACTTTTAAAACCCCAGAACTCATGAGAACTCACTAACAAAAGACAGTAAGGGGGAAGTCTGCCCCCATGATTCAGTCACCTCCCACCAGGCCCCTCTGACACATGAGGATTACAATTCAAGATGAGATTTGGGTGGGGACACAGAGCCAAACTGTATCAAGTAGTGTACAGTAATGTCCTAGACCTTCACATGCACTCACCACTCACTCACTGGCTCACCCAGAGCAACTTCCAGTCCTGCAGGCTCCATTCATGGTTAAGTGTCCTCTACAGGTATACCAGTTAAAATCTTTTATACCATCGTTTTACAGTTTTTCTATGTTTAGATACGTTTAATTACACAAATACTTGTTACTGTGTTTCTATTGCTTATAGAATTCAGTACAGTACTACGCTGCACAGGCTTGTAGCCTAGGGGCAATAGGCTTACCATTGAGCCTACATGTGTAGTAGGCTATAGGATTTAAGCTTGTGTAAGTACACTGTATGATGTTCACACAATGACAAAATTGCCTAATGACATTTCTCATAATGTATGCCTACTGTTAAGTGAAACATGATTGAACTGCTATGTTCTAGGCTTAAAAAATAATGAATGTTTCATCTACCTTACTGTTTTGGGCTGGATAATTATTTTATATAGGGCACTATCCCTCACATTCACAATACTAGCATCCCTAATGCCCTTAATGAATACCAGTCACAGCCCTATTCATCGTAATAACCAAAATTACTCCTGAAAATTTCCCAAATACCCACTAGAGGGAGGTATGCATATACATTAAGAATTGAGTTTTCTAAATGCCTATAGCTGTGATTGTCCCATTCCTGGTCACTAGAGGGAGGAAGTAGTCTTTAGGATGATAATATTCTGCTTTGTCTGCCTTCAAAGTTCAAGTTGAAGCTGCTGTAAAGAAAATATTTATGGCAAATATAGATCATATTTCAGTAAAACTATGGCACAGTTTTTCAGCATACATTTGGTACTCTTTGTATTATTAAAATGGAATTAGAATCTCTTTTCTTTAGGCTATCACTGTTACAAAATTCATATTTTCTTAGGCTAATTATCTAGTTATGATCACTGCCTATGATAGTATTTTGAAAAAAAAAAAAAAACTTCATATTCTTCTGCTTTCACCAGTCTTAAGAGAAACCAACGATAAAGGCCCTGACCTGAATGACCCCGCACCTTTGTATGCTGGTTAAAGTGCACCCTATATGACTGCAAGTCCCAGTGCTGTTACTTACTAGTTGTTTAATTTGGGCAAGTGACGTCACCTCTCTAAGCCACAATTTACTCATATACAAAATGAATATATAAAACAACTTACAGAATTATCATGAAGGTGGAATGAGGTATCTATGAAGTGTTTTTCACAATACACTTTCAATAAATATAATCTGACTTGCTCATTTTTATTATTTTTATGCTAAGAATTACATTAAATAAACAAGTTGTAGGCTATATAAAATCAAATTCTATTATGAAACTGTAATTGTATAAAAGTTCGGAAACAAAAGACATCCATGTAAAATGAAGCAATAGGTGAAAGGTTTGTGGAAGAAAAGTTGAACTGGAACAAATAGGATACCATTTGAATAATCAGGAAAGTCATGAAACACTGGGACATAGTAGTAATGCTTGTCTACTATGTTACAGTCAATTCTAAATGATTCTAGACATACGGTATTTTGGGCTGATAGGGAATACAACCCTTTTTGCTCTAACTAAAGTGCTTTACCACGTTCTTCCACATATCACTTTAAAGACCTTATAAAATACCTTAAGAAAAGGGGCCGGGCACGGTGGCTCAAGCCTGTAATCCCAGCACTTTGGGAGGCCAAGGCAGGTGGATCACGAGGTCAAGAGATCGAGACCAGCCTGGTCAACATGGTGAAACCCCATCTCTACTAAAATACAAAAAATTAGCTGGGCATGGTGGCACGTGCCTGTAATCCCAGCTACTCAGGAGGCTGAGGCAGGAGAATTGCCTGAACCCAGGAGGCGGAGGCTGCGGTGAGCCGAGATCATGCCATTGCACTCCAGCCTGGGTAACAAGAGCAAAACTCCGTCTCAAAAAAAAAAAAAAAAAAAAAAAAAAACCTTAAGAAAAAACTAGCTGCATGAAATACTTCTGATAGCTGATTTTACGCAGACTTTCTTGTTCAAGTCACTTATATACAGTCTAGGACTTTTAATTATATAATAATGTTGAAGGAAAGGAAGTCAGTCCTGAGTGGGATGGTCCTGATAATTTCCAACAACTCCTCTCAGCCAGGCTGGTCCTGAGTTTGCTTGGGTGCAGTAGCTTTTTGAATGTGTATTTGTTGGAGAAAAAGAGGAAACATTCAAGGTATGGTACCCCCTCAATGAGCCTGAGTTCCTCAAGGGCAAAGACAATCTTTACTGTCCCATACAATCCTTACTTATGCTAGTATTCAATAAACAACTAGAGCAAGATTACAATTACAGACTACACTAATTTTCAAAAAGTATGCATCTTCAAGTAGTAGGCATTCACTGAACTGACTTAATGCAAAGCTAGACTCAGATATTTTCCTTCACTGTTCCTAGCCAACTGTTAAAATAAGACTGAAATTTTCTGATCATAAACATTTATAAACTAAAAATAGAGCATTTTACTTTAGAAAATATGAATATACTGGTCCTAAATGTTACTAAAAATTTAACCAATATAACTCTCAGTGTCAATTTGGCATCCAAATCTACCCTACCTCTATCAAGAAAGTGTTGCACAGAACATTTTGCAAAATATTCAGTGTATCTTACGTACTCAAGAACAGATCATTAAAGAAATTTTACTCACTTTCTTTTTACCCATTGGCCTTGAATTTTAGCCAGGTAACCCTTATCTTAGTCACAAGAAGCTTCATGAGGAGAAAGTATTAACATGTTTAATTTTTACAGATGTTTTATATACTTTCAGATATTCCTCAGGAAATCAAAAAGCCATGCTGTCCTATATAATTTAAAAATTACTAGTAGCCACATTAAACAATGGCAAAACCAGAATAATTTTTAAATATATTTTAACCCAATGAGAAAAATATTTCAACATGCAATCAGTATGAAAAAAATGGGAGATATTTTAACTTTCTTTTTTCCATACTGTCTTCAAAATCCAGTGTGTCTTTTATATTTATAGATCTCAGTTCAGACTAGCCACATTTCAAGTGCTCAATAGCCACAATCCTGTCCTGTATTGGGCAGGACACGTCTAGAGTCTAACCCCCTTCTATCTCCAGTATAATCACCTTAAAATGCACAAAGTATATAAAAGGTAACCCAAAATTAAGTAATGCTCTGTTAAAATGCAAGTGAAAGATTAAATGTTAAAAAGTATTTGGACATTTTCTAATGACTAAAATGGGAAATACTGTTATTTAGGAATGGCTTTGCAAATCTTTTTGACATTTTCTTTCCATTTGCTCATTCTGAGCACTAGGTTATTTTGTTCTTTTTCCCCATCTGAGTTATTTTGTGATTCACTATTTATCTGCTGACAACTATGTGCAAAACATTATGCTAGATGCAATGAACAATGTAAAATACACTACATCTCAACTTTCACAAAGTTTCCAAACTTTTAAGCGAGAAAAAGAGTGAAAATGTGAAAAACATGAAAATATAATCTCTGTATTTTATTTTACTGTGTCACTCTGTCGATTACTTGTCAGTCCTTCCCCAGTTCCCTAATGAAGGTAATGGACTTTATTTTCTTATTCTTTTTCTCTTAGTAACTATTTGTGGAACTCACTGTAATGAATAATTATGTTATTTTCTATAACAGAGGTCCCTCCAAAATACACTAAGTGCATAAAGAACATTTATCTCCTCTATGGGGACCGAAAGACTAAAAGGCAGAAGAGTTACCAAGGGCAGGCCTTGAAGGATTTGACAGAAGAGAGTGGTGAGGAAATCTGAGGAAAAGAAGTTTGAACAGATGAGAAAGTATGAAAATAGAGAAATACATAAGATAGGTACTCCCTGCATACAGCTTAATAAAAAGAGCCTGAATAACCTGAGAATATCATTTATGGAGCTAGAAATGGAGGATCTGAGCAACTGAAGGGGAGCTTGTGCTGCATAAGCTATGTGCAAAAAAGTGATTGAGTAAGCAGTTGCAACTGCTAACGTTTTAAAGCAAACTACCTTGGAAGGTCCCAAATGTACTGTGCCCTGTTTTCTTCTCTTTGGGATAATGCCTATTGTGTCCATTTAAGGACTTTAATGATTCCATCATTTTTAATTAACATGAACAATTTCATTCAAGCGTTACATTTATGGGTAAGGTGAAAAATAAATCTGGCAGAACAACATGCTTTTATTTTACCATCACGCATAAAAAGAAGACAAATATGCCAATGGTACACTTCCAATTTGTCAGAGCAATTTCACAGTATTTAAAAGCGATTTAGGAAAAAAGACACATCACTTACTAACAAAAATTGTTACCAGGAAAAATTATCATGTAAGACAAAGACAATCAATTAAACCACTTTTGTAGATTATTTTTCCATAAAGGCAATTTGACAAGCTTAAGACCAAGTTATTCAAACTATGTTTCTAGGAATATAGTTTAACAGAAACAAGAACAAGTTGAAAACTATTATAAGTATTCATATGTTTCTATATTGTACAGGAAAGTAAGACTATTGTTCTTCCAAATGTTCCCAAGTGAAATCAAAAGAACGTACAGCTCAATTTTCACAATAAGCAGAACCAAAAAAATAAGATTTTACAAAATCCTAGTAAAATAACAATCTTCCACATAAATTCGGTCACAAAAGAAGAAAGCAAGCATTCAAGGTTGCACTGTGTTTCTTTAAAGAACCCTTGTCTAGGCAACAATTTAACACTTTAACCCCTTCAATTATCCTTTAACTATCCTGAGAAAAGTATTTCTCCATTCATCACCACTGGGGAGTAAGTACTCCTTCCTCCTCAGCTCAGTCTTCATTCTAGGCCCAATTTTTACCTGGCCCATGCCTCTAGCCGTTTGTTCAGTTTTCCCTGCTTAGTGCACCCATCACAATCTCTTTAGTTCTTCCATCCGTTATAAACTAGATCTCACATTTCATTCCATCCAGATGTGTCTCCCTTTAAGTATTCTAGGAGTTGATAAAAGGGATAGAAAGTTGGGAAGAGAGAAGGGGGCGTGGGGGGAGCAATAAGAGCTGTATTTTACAGGACAACCTCTTTGTCTCTGAAAATGACAGAGCCAAAATAAACTAAAGTTTGCTTTTACAAATATTTCCAAGCTTTTACTTTTTTTTTTTTTTTTTTTTTTTAAAGAGACAGGATTGGGAGGCTGAGGCGGGCAGATCACTAGGTCAAGAGTTTGAGACCAGTCTGGTCAGCATGGTGAAACTCCGTCTCTACTAAAAATACAAAAATTAGCCGGACATGGTGGCACGCGCCTGTAGTCCTAGCTACTCGGGAGGTTGAGGCAAGAGAATCGCTTGAACCCGGAGGCGGAGGTTGCAGGCGGAGATCCAACCTGGGCGACATAGCAAGACTCCGTCTCAAAAAAAGGAAAAAGAGAAATAGGAGCAAAAAGGAAGAGGGAGAGAGGGACCTTGGCAGCAGCCAAAGCAGGGCAGGTAGCAACAGAGTGATTAGAGGTGAAGGAAGAACAATGAAGTACCATAAATCACACAGAACAAGTAGCTCCACTGCTTTTCTCCTCTGAGTTCATTAACGTTCAGTAACTGTCCACAGGCCATGTGCCCATACTGCCCGATGCAGTGTTAAGTAGATAGAATAGGCTCCCAAAGCTAGAAATCCAGGTGATAGCAACCAGTTCAGAGGCCCTGGGAATTAACAGGGTCCAAGCAGTACCAATAAAGGCAGTACCAACTACAGTATCATTTGCTTGGCTTAGTAGTCTGAAGGATGGCGTCGTAGCATGTGATATTCCAGAACAGCATGGAAGTGGAGAAGCATACCCACCACCGTCTCAATCTTGAGGTTGAGAGAAGTGAATATCCAAAGGAAAGAGGGTGCAGAAAAGTCAGCAAAAACAAAACACAGTAGAAGGCATACCATTTCTGTTGCCCAAGCACAGGTCCAGCAGGTGGTGGTAGGAGACCTTGTGCAGGAGTATTCCCAAGGGCAAACGTTAACCCGACTGGAACCCAAAGGGCCTGGGGATCTCAACTGGCTCCCTTAGTGGGCGGCGTCTGGCTCTACGGACTCCTTCACGCAACAGGTAGTATTGCAGTGGATTTGGCCACAGATCCTCTTTAATAATTTCAGCAATTTTGTCGGACTCTGGAAGGCTGTGGTCTGAGAACCAGGTGAAGAAGCTGCAGATGAGGTCTTGGTTTCTGCGAATGAAGGACTGGGGTTCATGCCCCCTGCGCCATATAATTGGAGTGGAAAGAGACACCACTCGGCCGGAAGATCTTACCTCATATTCCTTGACAATCAGCTTGTTTCTGAAGTAGGGGTTTCTTCTAAAGAAGAATTTGAACTTGCAGCCAGTTCTAGGGTGTCTGAGTTCCTTCACCTCTAAATTGGTTATGTACCTTAACATATCTGCATCTTGGCCCCTGATCATGGCGGACAACTGGGGGTGGTTTCGAAAAGCAGTCATCCAGAAGCCCGGGATATTCTGAATGATGTAGTTCCTCCGCTCCAGGTAGTGTCGACGCATCCGCCCAAACTTGTGCTCTAGTTGTTGGAAGGCCCTATCGGCCTGAGCATTCACAGTGTCCAGTTCCTGCTGGATGGCCTCCAGAGGGTCCATGCGGAGAGCCTCATGCAGACGCCACGGCCCTTCCTCCTCCCTCGCCTCTACTTCTTCACCTTCTGGCGGCTGCTCCTCTACCTCCATCTGCTCCTCCACTACCTCCTCCTCCGCCAGGCCTTCCTTCACCACCACCTCAGCCCTCTCCTCCTCAGCCACGGCTGCTGAGACAGTGGCGCACTTTCCTCTCTTCACCTCCTCAGCCTCCGTCCCCGCCCCCGCCGTCAGCTCCGACGCGGACCTCTCGGCGTCACAGATTTCTAGGGCCTTCTCTCCATCCTGAACGCCCTTTTTCAGGCTGTGGTCCGCTGCCCCCACCACAGAAGCGGCTGCCAGGCCCTCGGCAGGAGGCTGGCCCTCTTCCTGCCCGGCTGTGATCGCTACATGACCGCGACCCCCAACAACTCGGATCTGGGGAGTACCGCCACGGCCCGCGGGATCCTGGGGTACGCACCCTTCCTCTGAAGGCTGCGGGGGCGGGAGCGCGACGGTCTCCGAGCCTCCCTCACCCAGCTCCGCCATCACCTGTGTCGCCTCGCTTTTGTCGCGGAGCCTCAGGCACTGGCGTGCGTCCGGGTCGCCCGAGACGTCGTCAGAAATAGGGATGCTGTGCGTTTGAACGGGAGGGGTCTTCTCGACCCCATCCAGGCCGCTCATGTTGGTCACAGTCGGACCGACCTCAGGTCAACGCCCGTTTTCCTCAGAGAAGCAGCGCTCGGAGGTAACTGCCGCTCGCACCGCCCACCCTCGGGTCTGAGGGAAGTCTCTGCGGCGGTGTCGTCAGGCCTGCAGATCTCACGGTATCGCGAGACCTTGCTGAGCCCGGAATTGGTTCCGCCTCTTCCAGCCAGCCAACCGGATTCTCTGGGCTTTACTTCTGTGAATTTACCCATAGCAACAGTCATTTTACCTACGTAAAGAAATGTAGATCGTCCTTAGTTTGGAAGCTGTGACGACCCACCTTGAGATGAATCTGGAGACTGCCCCCAGCATGTGAGAGCAGTTGTAGAATCACAGCCCTAACAGTGCCTGCTCTTAAGTGTCTCAAAACAAATGCTTTTCCGGTCTTCACTTTTTTCAAGGCAGGAAGGCAAATCTATTCCGTGTTACTCCATGTAACTAGGAGCAAAAAGCTTCTCTAAGATGAATAGCAAAATGTTTCTCCCCTTCTTAGTAAAAGTGACATAAAAATATAAAGTCTAGCCTTTACCATTACTGGGGGTGGGGGGAAGCTACTCAGCAGCTTCTTACCACTAAAGCGATGCGTATTATTCATTGCTAATTCTCGATTTATAATCTCCATCAAATAAGAGTTTGTGCTGCATAATATCGGTAGGAATTAAGCCAGGATCAATTTGCTAAATGTTGTTCCATGCCTCCTCACTGCAAGAAAGAAGAAATGATAACTATTTCCGGCCCCATAAACTTAATTTATTATGTTTAGTTAAGTAAGATAGGAATGTTTGGCTCTAATGAGGCATCTGTCTTTAGCAATCAGCTAAGAGTATTAGAGAGGAAGGTCAATGTCTCTGGTTGAAGTGTTCCCGTTTGTTAACTTGTGAGTTAAACTTGTGTTATCTTAGAGAGTTACAAGGCCTCAGAGAAGTATCAGCTGGGGGAGCCACATACCACCATTTTGTGAGGAAAGGCTAATTAAAATGGACAACCAATGTGGCCTTGAAGTAGAAAACAAACTTGCAAAGAGCAACATGCAGCTGGTTGACTCAAAGTGTAAAAGAGGCAAACATTATTTTCCACTTAATTTGCCTTGTGTGGTAGTAGGCTGATGGCCCTCAAAGATGTGCCTGTCTTATGTGGCTAAGAAGACTTCACAGATATGATTCAGTTAAAGATTTGGAGATGGGAAGATGATTCTGGATTATACAGGTGGGCCCTATGGAATTACAATATTTCTTTTAAGAAGGAGGCAGGAGGGTCAGTCAGAGAAGATGTAAGGACAAAAGCACAGAAAGAGGGAAGAAATGGTGGAAAATAGGAGGGGGAGCAAGGAAAGGGAAATTGCTATGTTGCTGACTTTGAAGATGGAGGAAGGAGCCAGGATCCTAGGAATAAAAGTAGCCTCTAGAAGCTTGAAAGGTAAGGAAATAGATTCTACCCTAGAGCCTCCAAAGGAATGCCAACACCTTGAGGTTATTACCTATAACCTCCAGCACTATAAGATAAATTTGTGTATTTTTAAGCTATTAAATTTGTTGTAATTTGTTACAGAAGCAATATGAAGTGAATACACCTTGGATTAAGGTTTGGTTGCATCTGCGCGTGCCTCAAGCTGTTTCTAATAGCAGCCCCTTCTGCCTTGCTCATTGCTTCCCATGAGTTCCTGCCTAACAGTTGTGATGTATTACAGCTTAAACCTCTCTTTCAATATCAGGACCAGAAATATACTTAGGTATACACAGAAAGAAAAAATTAAAGCCTAAACATACCACAAATGATATCTGAGGAGTCTATAAACTGCAGGAAGACGTGATCATGGTTTTGTTTACCTCTGTTTATCTAGTGCCTAGTGTACTACCTATCACAGTATCCCATAGATTATTAAAATGTTAAATAAAGGAGCAACTGAGCAGAACACAGTTTCTCTTGCTTGCAACTTGGTGCTTGCAGAAGAGAAGTAAAGGCCATATGGATTGTCACCACGCTCTTCTCTCTGTCTGCCTCTGGAAAACCAGAGGGCTACTCTACTGTATATGGTAACAAATTCCTACTCAAGAGAGTGAATTTCTGTATATGCTTCAAAGGCTCTAAAAGGATAGGAAAAACACAGATAAATCAATTTTATTTTACAAATAATTTAAGTTTGTGTGGTCATACTGTATGACAAACAAACTCTGAAAAGACAAGCATATTTAGATGAGTTTACATATCAAAGCCTCAGGCTACCAGCAACATATTTCTAATTCTTCTCTCCTTTCTGGACAAGTCAAGGTAATGATTTCAGGCCTTATTTCCTTTCTGTCTACAAGAAATATAGAATGCATTCCATCTCTACAAGAGATGGAGCCTGTGATGCATGGCTGGAATTACTTTTGGTCTAAATAAAAAGGAATAATGGAACTTTCCACAAAGGCTGTTTCTTTTTTTGTTTGTTTGTTTGAGATGGAGTCTCTCTCTGTCAACCAGGCTGGAGTGCAGTGGCACAATCTCAGCTCACTGCAACCTTCACCTCCTGGATTCAAGTGATTCTCCTGCTTCAGCCTCCTGAGTTGCTGGGACTAGAGGCGCACATCACCACCCAGCTAATTTTTGTATTTTTAGAAGAGACAGGGTTTCACCATGTTGACCAGTATATTCTCTATCTGTTGACCTCGTGATCTGCCTGTCTCGGCTTCCCAAAGTGCTGAAATTACAGGCTTGAGCCACTGTGCCTGGCCAGGCTATTTCTTTCTAATTGCTATGAAATCATCTTCTATCTTGAACTGGTACAATTTCATTTGGCCTAAAATGGAGACTTTTATTATTCCAATATGTGTTCTATTTTTTTAAGCAGAAAAGAGTGTCAGGCTTAGACCAATCCTAGAATATATGGCTTTATTTGTCAAAGAAGCCATTATGTAATTAATACTCTTACCAGTAAAGCTAGGAAATTCTAATTACAGATCATGTAAGTATAATGAGGACTCTGCTGAATGTATTTCCCCCAAATAACGTTGAGACTCTTTAAAGGAACTCTTCATTCACTTCTTGTCAGCACATTTGTAAAGCTGTGATACAGAATAGTTGAATATATAGAGAACGTGAGATAAAATTACTTCTCACAGAAAATCACATCAGAGAAACGATGTGATTATAACTCTTCCTTGTAGGTGATGGAAAGCTCAGGTCATGATTGCTCAGGAGAAGGGTCAGTAAATGGCAAGGATTTTAGAGGGAAAAGCAAATATTCATACTTTATGTCCTGTATTTTTTTAAAGAACAAATCTTTGCTTGGAAGGAAGAACTCTCTAGGATGCCAACATGCATCAAGGCTCATGTGCTCAGGGAGTTATTTTGCCATACACACAAAGCTGTGGTTGCTGTTTGACATAGAATATTGTACTTATTATCGTAGGGCTATTGCTTGTGGAATTTTTGTCTTTTTGTACTTAAAAGGCTCTAAAAGGATACCTCTCTTTTACATGACACAGGTTATCCTGCTATCTGAGAATTCTGTTTGTAAGTAGATACTACACATTCTCTAAGGCTTACCAAAAATCTACCTTGCTTTAGAATGTGCTAGGCATTTTACATGAATTAAACTGTCAAATTTCATAAAATAGGAAACAGTAACACTGAGAGGCTAACTTTACGAAAGTCATACATGTAGTAACTGGTAAATTCTTTCTCCCTTCTCCTGGGTGCATCTTTCCTGAGTTCCCTATGGCTCCTTAGTCTTCTTCACCTGAATTACTGCAACTCTTTAATGAGCTGTGCCATGCAATATAGCACTTAATTATGCTTTTTCTCTTAGTGACTCTAGTTGATTTATATGTGTCAGTCTCATCATCCCAGCATTCCAGCATTATCTCATGGGATAGGAGTATATTTGCAGCTTCTTTTGCATTTACTCATCATAGCATGGGGCTCAGATTTTGGTAGATTCTTAACAATATTTGTCGATTTTAATAAAATAAAAAATTATCTTACAAAAACTAACAGTGTATCTATACTGGCATTATTTTTTTTTTGAAGAGGGAATATATTTTGGCTATGCTTCATATATCACCTTTTTGCACTTTAAAATATAGGATATATTGGTCCATGACAGAGCATTTCTGTGGCAATTGACAATAAACTTCACTACCCCCAAAGATACTTGAATCTTTTCTAATATGATTCTATGGGAAAACATCTGCAAAAAACCCTGAGGTGTTTCTCCATAATATCAAGGAATCATAGATTCTTCAGGAATGATTTCTCAGGTGGCAGGGAGTTTAGCAGAAGTTCAGACATTTTTGTTTTGCAGATGATAGGTTTTATCATTATAATTAATGTTAGCTTTCACTTATTTATTGCTTCTGATGTACCAGCCACTTTTATAAACACCATACAGTGTGTCACATAATTTAGTTCCTATTAGAACCCCATGAGGTAACGCAGTTATGACCTTCATTTTACTCAATAGGGAACTGAAGCAAAGAGAGACTGTCACTTGCCCAAAATGATATAGAAAGTGATAGACCCATGATTCGAACCCAGGAAGTTTGTCTCAAAAGCCTGTACTCTCTGAACAGGTGTGAACTCACTTTCTTAAAATGAGTATAAAACATCCTTGATGTTAAATTGATACACAATTTTCTTCTCTATTCCCTCTTTCCCCAATCCACAAGCATATTAATATAATATTTATAAGGAAAGTACCCAAATATTTTCTTTCTTTTTAGAGGAGAAGCAGTATCGATGATCCCCAAATTCAGTATTTTCTCAACCCTGTCAGACTGAATGCCATCTTTTTATAACAGATACTTACTAAAAGAGTCTTTCCTGAAATGAAATTTATAGATAATATAACCCACCTACACATGTAAATAGAAAAACATCAATATAATAACATCATAAAAGAGAAATAAAAGTAATTTATTATATTGCCTATTTTGATATGTAAGGACATTAGCATTGACTACACTATAAGAAATAGCAAAGTGATTAGAAAGTTATACCTGTTGATATATACATACATATAGTAACTGGTAAATTCTTATCAGTTTCCATCCATGGAAACTGATCCATGGATGTTTTACCCAGTAAAACATATGGGTATGTTTTACTTCTGATTCAGAAACCTTGGTGATGAGGTTTCCTGAAAGGGTGACCCAATCTTTGTTAAGTTCTGTAAAAGAAAAAGGAAAGCTCCCTTTGGTACGTGGTACTGTGTTTCTTCCATTAGAAGAAATACATTTCACATTCCTAAAATCAGGATGTGTCTTACAAGCACTCTTAATGAGGTGTCAGTCATTACATCATTGCCATCATCACTGCCTGAGCATGTATGAACCTGGTTATTGTTACCAATTTCATTTCTGGACAAACTGTGTAAAGACCATCTGAAGAAAAAATGTGCACTGTTTGTTGTCTTAAAATCTTCCCTTAATCTCTTTGGAGGGTTCAAAAAGTACCGACATCAAAACTTACGTAATTTGTGTCTGGCTTGAATGAAAACTCTTCTAGACAAAAGAGTAGAGCCCCGTTTTAGGAAATATTGCATCATCAAAACACTTGATAGCAGATGGGATAATAGTGTTTGGAAAAAATATGGATATTGACAACTCTGAGCCAAACTTTCAGTAAATTTTCAGAATATGAAGAAATCTTAAGAATAACAATTTATTTTGCTTTTCCTTTTCCTTTCACATATTTCCAAGTATGATATTTATTTCTGTCTAAATAAGCTTAAAAGAGTTATTTTTTAAAACATAAAATAATTATGTATAAGAATGTATCATGTCATAGTTCAATTGGCAGTGGTTTTTCTCATTGTCTTCCTTTCTTGGTGAT